TAGAAAATGAAAACAATCTAAGATAAACAGTATAGATAGCGAATCACTAGAGAATTACAATGGTCAATATATGGCTAATCCATATCAGTCTATAGTATATTTAAAAAAAACAAGAGAACTTATCATCATAAAATAAAAATGAATAGAAAATAATTAAATATTAAGTCGAACTATAGTCATTCATTTTATTAAAATAAAAAAAATAGCAAAAATCATTGATGACTTTGCGTGTACTGGTATCTTATCATTGTGAAACAAAACACCATAAAGATAAGTGACAACATGCCTTGAAATAGTATTCGTCAGTTTGATGCTCGCTTTTTCTTCACAATGCAGAAAAGGAATATATTAATCGAGAAACGAAGTAAAGTATATAACGCGATAAGAGGTAACTACAAGGCTTGCAATTGATCTCTAGTAGTTGCGTAAATTTATAAAATGAGTGCATGCATGCATGCTTTTTTTGTCACACGAGCAAAAAAGAGATATTGTATTATATTATTCTTTGTTGAAAATTTAGATTATTCAAGGTAAAAAATATGGAGAAATCAGCAGTAAATGATGATGGTGATCAAGCAGTAAAAGAACAATTAGCAGTGCATCCTTCAAAACTTCCAACTCATCCAGATGAAAAAGAAAAGATTCCAGCACCATTCATTATTCCAGATGGAGTTTCATCACCAATACAACATCCACTTGATCCATTAAATGCTGGTAAATATCATCAGAACCAATATAAAAAGCCTAGATCTTGATTTTTTTTCATAATACAATAGACAATTACTTTTATAATCAAATAAATCATTTGAATTTGTTACTTTTATTTTTATTTAGATGAAATTAATTTAACAGCACGTTTACTTAGAGAATCATCAAAATTTCAAAGTTATATGCGTATTGTATCAATTACTCCAAAAGAACCTGACGATAAAAATTATGTTATTAATTATAAACCAAATGATTCATTACAACGATCGGCAATTGTAACAGTTCATGATCCAAAAGATCGAACAGCATATGTAATTGTTGTTGATTTAACAAAAAAATCTATTGAAAGTTTTACTGAATTTAAAAATGTTCAACCTGGTGCAGCATTTAATGAAGTAATTCTAGCTGATAGTGCATTACGTAGAAGTGAAGCTTTATTAACTGCCTTTACTAAACGAAATATTTATATGAATGATGTCGTTTTTTATCCATTTTCATCTGGTTATCGTGATGAACGAGATTCAGCATCAAAACGACGAATATTTCGTCCATATGCTGCTGTTAGAAAATGGGAACATGATAATTATTATGCTCATCATATTGATGGACTTGTTATAACGGTTGATTTAGATTCATTTACTGTTGAAGTCGAAGATTATCTGATTGTACCATTACCTTTAAAATCTGGTAATTATGATCCTGAAGGTATTAAATCACCAGATAATATACCATATTTTCCTGATGGTATTCGAAAAGATCTTAAACCATATGTTATTACTCAACCAGAAGGTCCATCATTTCAAATAAATGATCATGAAATTTCATGGCAAAAATGGCGTCTTAGAGTTGGATTTAATGTTCGTGAAGGTTAACAGTAATAGCTCTTCTTTTTTTTTCCTTTTTAATTAGAATTGATTTTCATTAATTGAAACTCTTTTGTAGGTCTTACATTAAATATGGTTGAATATTTTGATCAAAATCGTTGGAGGCCTATTCTTTATCGAGCAGCTATAAGTGAAATGTGGGTACCATATGGTGATGGAAGTCCTGCACATAGTTATAAAAATGCATTTGATGTTGGTGAAGCTACGGTGGGTTTATTGACAAATAGTTTAGTAGTTGGATGTGATTGTCTTGGTGAGATTCGTTATTTAGATGTTGTTGTCCATAATAATGAAGGTCAAGCAATTTTATTAAAAAATGCTATTTGTATTCATGAAGAAGATATTGGAATACTTTGGAAACATACTGAGTAAAAGAAATTGTTTATTTATATTTTATAAAGAATAATATTTTTATATTAGATTTGTTACTCAACGTTCTCAATGTCGCCGTTTAAGACGTCTTGTTATTTCATCTATATTAACAGTAGGTAATTATGAATATGGTCTATTTTGGTATTTTCTGCAAGATGGTGCAATTCACTTTGAAGTCAAACTTACTGGAATTATAGAATTAGTCAAATATTACATGAACATTATATTATAGAGCGCCATGAAAAGTTTTTTTTAAAATTCCGAATGGTTAAGTTTTACTTGATTATTTGAAGTGCACTAGAATTGAAGAGAAAAATCGAACAGAAAAGCATCTGCAGACGGCATTTATTATTTTTCGTAAGATCTTGTTCGTGATACAAAATTAGTGGAGAATCAATTTCGTGTAATATAATTAATATAAACTCCACTTTTCCACTTGAGGTTTAAAGTTATACGGAATTTCATTACTAATAGTATTAACGTTGGCCTTTTTTCAAATACAAAGTTTTGATATTCCATTTTATTAGTTTTAAAATTCCTTCTATCAAAGAGATATTGCACGCATGGATTATACTTCTATCTTTCGGAAAAGGAACGAGTCTGGATGTGAACATGGATTTTTTGTCTTCACTGTCAGTGTTCTGGTTTTCTGCATCCAATTTCTTCATCATCTTTGCGATTTCGAGAAGACTCAGATTTCCAATAAGTTTTATCATTGCTTCATTTGTCAATAGTGTAAGTAAAGCCTCTAGACTATTAAAAAAAAAGGTTTCTTCATTTGAATTCAGCTGACAAGGGAAACTTCTTAGATGTTTCCTTTCAATTTTAGTGGCTTTTCGCGTAAAGATACTATATGATGTTCTAATAAAAATTCAAAAAAGAATTTGGGTTCCTATTGAAATTTTGACTAAGCTATCAAGTTTCTTTTTCTAGAGGCCTCAGATTTTCGGAAGACTCTGATTTTCAAGTTTTGAACAAAGTCTTTTCGAGATATGAGATTTTCAAGATTTAGACCCTTTTCCATGGATAATGTATGCAATATGCATTTTTTCAAAGTTTCATATCTCAAAAAGACATTGTTTAAAACTTTTGAATTCAATTATAGAAACTAGTCTGGTTGAGTTTTCTATACGCACAAAATTTCAAACTGAAATTCGAATTTTCCGAAAACTAGAGGCCTCTAGAAAAAAATTTGATAGCTAAGTTAAATCTCAGTAGGAACAAAAATCCTTTTTCGGATTTTTTTTTTATTAGGACACTGGAGTATATAAAGGTAAAAAATCATTGAAATCGAACGGGGACATCTAAAAAGATTCTCTCGTAATTATAATGTGATCATTTTCGCAGGCAAACATAGAGAACTGCACGAGGATGAAACCTAAGAGTAATATCTTCGTCGAATAATTTAATATTGAAAAGAAATTGCAGTCCTAAATAATTTTCATATATCTAAGAGATATATCCTTATCTTAAATATCTTCTCACTATTCTTTTCTGTTGTTTAATTTATTAGTATTCGTGAACATCGCATCCACCGAAAACCATCCGAAGTAACTATAGATGAAATGTTTAACTCAGTATCCTAATAGTCTACGTCTACTGATGTAATTTGCAAATGATTTTTATTGCACCAGGTAAGCAAAAAAGAAAGAATATCTTTCATTAGATTAAACAAAAAAAACAACTTCTTTTCCAGGTGCAATTGAAAGCGGAAAAATACCTGTATCCGGTGGATTAGTAGCTGAAGGATTATATGGTCCACATCATCAACATTTTTTTAATATGCGTATTGATTGGATGCTTGATGGAATAAATAATTCTCTTGTTGAAGTTAATTGTGAGCCTTTACCAAGAGGACCAAACAATCCAGAAGGTAATGCTTGGATAGCAAAAGAAACAGTTTTAAAAACTGTTGGCGAAGCACGTCGACAACATGATGCAATAAAAGGACGTTTTTGGAAAGTAATTAATCCTCAAGTTAAAAATCATGTTAATCAACAAGTTGGTTATAAAATTGTACCATCTAGTCCAGTATGTTATCCATTATGTGATTTAGATTCTTCACAAGGTCATAGAGGTATATTTGCACGTTATCATTTATGGGGAACACGATATCATTCGGAAGAATTTTTTGCAGCTGGTTATTTTCCTAATCAATCTAAAGGTGATGATGATGGTGTTGCTATTTATAGTGAAAAACATAAAGATGAATCATTAGTTGAATGTGATCTTGTTACATGGTATACATTTGGTACAAATCATATTGTTCGATCAGAAGATTGGCCTGTTATGCCTGTTGAAATTGTTGGATTTCGTTTACAACCTTTTGGATTTTTTGCTGGTTGTGCAGCCATAGATGTACCACCATCAGTTCCAAAATGCTAATTTTGACATCGATATACTTAAAAATTTGGACGAAGCCATTTCACTATAGAGATGCAAAATGGATCAAAAATGATTCATTTGTCTTGAATTGCATCAAAATTGAATCGATTTTTATTTTTATTTTTTTTTTAATAATTTTTTGCAACTATGTTGTTAGTTTATCTTTAGAAAGCTGAATATCTAGTTATCATAGGTTATTTTTTTGAAAAATGAAGAGTGTGGGTGTGAATGCTATATCTTTCCTCATCAACACTTATATTCACAATCATATCCACACCCTTTGTCTATGTCATCAAATCACGTATATATTTGTTTGCTTTCAAATGTTTATTACATGTACACACACGAATTTCATTCTTAATATTTATTTTTCTTTCGTTAAAAAGTGGCGAAACGAATATGAATGAATATGACATAGTAATAATAAAAAAACGACAAATATCTTCCTTTGGTTTTCTCAATCTTTTGATTGACAAGGAAGAGAACTGATTATAGTTTGTTGGGTTGAACAGCTAAGAAACGTTGAAGAAGATCAAGCATAGCTCTTGGTTGATCGTAGGGAACCATATGTCCTGCATTGCGAATCGTAGCAAGAAAGAATCGATTTTTATTCGCCGCTTTTACATAACCGGCTATTTCTACATCGGTATCGTCAATTTTCCATACTTTTCGTTCAGCTTGACGCAATTCATCAGCACCGAACCATTCAAGTTGATCGATCCACGCCATAGTTAGTGGTACAGGAATGATAGCATCTAATTGACCATTGTAGATCATGACACTATAATTAGCATTTGCTATAGCCGCAATTTTCCAGGCGACACTTTGGAGCTAATAAAAGTGATAATAATTAAACTAGCGTTTCTGTTCTATAGTATTCTTACTAGATCGTTTAGTAACATACGTTCGACAATATCACTTTGACTCGTATAAGACATATTTCCGACATGAATTTGTTTTCGTCGATCTGGTCGAGTAATAAATGGAATAAAATAACCTTGATCTTCTGGTTCATTGGTTGTTAAATAGTTGAAATAATTTTTAATGCCAGTTACATTATAAAAATAAGAGGTAGTATTTATAAGATCACCATTCATAAGAGCATCGAAGAGATGAAAGGCTTCGATATAATTTTTCTGTTCAATATTATAACGCATCAATGCAGTTTGCAAATCAACATAGGTTTTTTGTGTTTGATCGATCAGACCAATCTAAAGGTAGAATGACTTTCTCAATTAACAATCAATTGTAAGATTTCTACCACGTTTACCTGGTATAGAAATTCTCCATATTGATATTGATTGACTGGATCACACACTCCATCACCGATAGTCATTCCTTTTAAATTGATTCGTGTTTTTACTTGTGGATTTTGATTTTCTACATAGATTTTATATGTAATCGATGGTACATGTTTACCAGCATAACTTTCACCAGTAACAAAGAACGGATTAGAAGCATAATCAGTATAGATTTCAAAGAATTGAGTGAGAGCGGAGTATAGATCGCGAGCTATATCGTCTTGGGATCGAGCATAACCTTGATCGTTCAGTGTAAAACTGTAGCCCGTGCCAACTGGATTATCAATGAAGAGGAGATGATAATATTTGTTCCATGAAATCTCACGCAATTGTAAATTACCGCTCCTATCAATGTAGATAGGACCAATTTCTGTAAAAAGAGCAAATAATGATGTTGCACCGGGTCCTCCTTGAAGCCAAAGCATCACTGGTGTATCCGATTTATTTTCGTTTTGAGCCGGAAAAAACCAAAAAAACATATTTGAATTGTACTGTTTATTGACTGTCAAATAGCCAGAGAACGATTGACTCTTGAACGGTGATAATTCCACTGAACTAAAATCGAAATTATTCGAAGAAGAAATTGATTCAAAACACTGACCTTAATCGTCTAGCCTCGTCGATATTTCCTTGTTCGAGATAGGGTGTGAGAAAAAGCGGCTCACCTGGATCGTCTGTGTAGTCCAGAACAGTCTGTTCTCGTGTTGGATACATTCGATGGAAGGGTCCTCGATATTCATGTGCACTGCTATCGAGAGCAATGAAACAAACGATAACCATCAGCACGACAAACATTCTGTTAAACGACATTATGGTAAAAAGAAAAAGAAAAAGAATGAAGACTGCGGAGTTTATCACATATATATATGCACGAAAAAAAATAACGACGCTCAGATGCAATGAAAGTATGATGAGTAGACCAGATATCACTATGCTTACCTGTATATGACATACGTCAAGAGAGGTCGATTTCTCTTGTAAAAGATATCTTTTAAGATTTCAAACGATATTTTATGTTTAAAGCAGTGTAAAATTAAAGCAGCTATGTCTTCCTGTTACTTTGTCACATAATTTTCGGCTCCATATATTTTTGTAGACATAGCGAGACCTTTGACGATATATTCTAGTGCTTCATTCAGTCGATCTAGCGTTGACAAAGTGACTCTGAGAGCGAAATAGATGTCCGTTAACATTATATGTTTATGAAGAAGAGATGCAAATGCAATTGCAGGAGTCTTGTTGGATATTTCACCAGTGCAGTCTCATAAGCAGTTCGTTCGTAATACTCCATAGCAAGATCTAGCTTCTTCTGTGTCTTATAGATATCAGCAATGCTTTCATAAGTTGATGAGACGATAGAATCAGCTTGTTGTTGTGGATTTCGATTTGGCCAATACGAAAGACAACGCTCATAGGGAACAAATACTCTTCTTCACTTCCACCAGATCAATAGCAATTTTTGAAAAAACTAGTTTCATATCTTATTTTCCCTGTGATTCACCTGCAAAATCGAGGAAAAATTGTTTTTTCGCACTCATCAAGATGAAATTGCGTATCGATAGGAAGCTACCATCATTCGTCGGAAGTTTGTTTAATTCGATATTCCACATGTCCTGACCACGATACAATGTCAGACTTTTTTTGTTTGCTTTTGCTCGCAAGTTGAGCGAATTGAGTATGCAAATACAATATTCACGTGTGTATCAAAATACAGATTTCCATGCTTGCTATTCATGTTGGAATTGATCAAGTAATTCGAGCTCACCACGATTAGTTTCAAATTATTCTCGACAGAATGAAAGCATCTTTTTTAAAGCTTTCGGTATCATCGAGATTTGCCCATTTGAGCAGAGTATCTTTGAACAATCGAATGTTGCTTCTTGTGTATTATTAGCACCATTACCGGCGAGATCGATTTGAATAAGATCGTGTTCGCTTTTGCTTCCATCTTTTCTCAACTATTCACATAGTAGCTGAATTTGCGTAAAGATTCCTTATGCTTTCGAATAATTGTTTGCCAATTGTTGATACTTATTTTTCTGAATACAAAAAATGTAAATAATCAACACGTCCATGAAATGATTTTCTGGAATAAATTGTTGGCTCAATGACCGGGAAAGGATCAGAACATGTATCCACATTGTTCACAACATATTGCAACCCACTTTTTGATTTGTCAATATCTTCACCAGATTTATGCATAGATGCACCAAATCAGATGAGAACAAAAGTTTCAACATTAAGACGATAAGGCCGTTGTGCCACAGGCGGTACCTTGGGTATCACAGTTATTTGTGGAAGCGATAGTTCGATCGATGGGGACGCAGGCGACTCGTTTTAACTGGTAGTGATGATAGCAACGGCGTGCTTCTTACAACAAAATCTCATTTAGATTGCCTACCGGAAATAGGCTGTCATGTTTTTTTGATATTATCAATGTGCAAATCAAAGAATCTCTTCATTTTATCTTATATTCTGTGTAAAAGATATTCGATTCAGTACTTTAAGTTGTCTATGATGTTCCGGCGAAAATGTGCCGCTTTTTAAGATGTGAACTCGATCCATTTTATGCTTACTAACTTTGCTCTTTTTCCTGTCATTGTATCACATTCATGTCGGTGTCTTTCATTCCTTATCATAAATGTAAGATGCGAATCGGTTTATCATCGTCATCCGCAATCAAAAGTTCGATCGGATATCGATTAAACGCCAGGGTATAGACAGCAAGAATGCCACAAACTATTCAAGTTGAGTATTCAGTGTGTGGATTAGACAAGTGTATGGTTTGTTATTTACAAATGATTCCAATTAAATCATTTGTAGACAATTTTGAGTATGTGGAGAATTGCGAAATTTCTTCAATAAGCTGTTAATAATGTGGTTGACTCTCAGGACATTTGCTTTATCCTAGTGTCCAAATTGATTCGATGTAAAGTCTGCTTCTTTGCGACGTGTGAGTTAGTTTGCATAAAGTCGGCCAAAACATTCTTGACCTAACGACAAATGGTGTTCAAAAACGGTTTTACCGGGGAATTATGATTCATCAAAATGATAAGAAGGATGAGGCCATCGTTACACTGTCACACACAATGAAGAAAATAAAACAAATCTGCGACAGAAAAATCTATCCGAAGTATTCAAAACCTGTTGTTGTATTTTCGTTTTTTTGCAAGTGTGCTGAAGATGAATTATTCTGAATGGTAGAGAAACTAATCAAATATTCTCTTGACACTTTTAATATGTTTACAGAGGCCTAACTCATTCGAAAATCGTTTTGTTTTGATAACGAATTTCATTTTTCCATGAATCTAATTATGAAGCATTAACAAATCGACAAAATCAATCTATTTGGCTACGACATGTTTGTGTAAATTAAAAACAGTACTTCATCAATTATTTTTATTTATTTTAATTGGTAATATTGAAAGATTCATTGGTGATTTTCTAATGGATTAATTTTCTGAACAAAGAATATTTTGAACAAATCATGTTAATAGATTAAAAAAAAAGCCAATAATTGATTTATTCAAATTAGATATTCGAACTTGATTAAAAGTAGCTTTTGAATAAAGTTTATTACCATTTAATTTATGATCAGATTCTTTTAATGGTTGAAAAACAAATAAAATATTTTTATGAATTTCAATCAGACAAATATTTTTCATTGAAAATGAAAATATATCTCGATCATGTTTTTTATTACGTAAATAACAAATCAATGAACTATTTTTTAATCTTATAGAGATAAGATAATGGAAGCTGATGCCTTCCATGATATGTCATTGAATTCGTGTTTCAAAAAAACATTTTATCGACTGATGTCACTACCATACATTATTTTAGCATCATTTGTTATCATGAACTATCATACCTCATGGATAATCCTTCCTAATGGCATCTTTTATAATTCACGTGAATTGATTGGTTCGTTTTTTGTTCGTAACGTGTGAAATAATATAATTGATCCTCGTCGTGATTTGGTATATTAACATAAATATTGATTGAATTACATACAAAAAAATAAAATAAAATGGCCGGCGTCGCAAGAAAACAAAAAGTTATAACTCGTTTAACAACTTATTATTCTGATTTAACTGATAATACAGCTGATCGTATTTACGATAAAGCAATGAACTTGTATCATGAATCAGTAACAGGCACCCATTTTAATTTATTGTTGGAAAGGGACGAGGAAATTATGTCGGCACTCGTTACCATTATTATATATGAAATCGATTTATAGAATTCATGGATAAATTATGATGTTTATTCTTTTTTCGTACAAAACAATTGCTCCGACATATATTTTTGTACAAGCAATTGGTCATTATGGTCAAGGCGATGGCGACGTGATTCAATCAACAAAATTATGACGAATAATATTGGATGCTTTATGTGATTATGTTGTTAGATAAAATATTTATGTTTAGAATGGATATCCTTTACTTCATTTTCTAAAACAAATAAAAAATTAGTTCATTGAATTCACATTTTCATTTGTTCAAATCATTTAACACAAACTTAAATTTATTAGAATAACAAAGAAAAGAAATTCTTGAAGATGTTGAAAAACAAGAAGAAGCAAAAATAAAAAAGGTTAGTATTAAAGCTTTTGTAATAAAATATTCAAATTTTTTGCTTTGTTAGATTCAACAAAAACTCAATAAATTTTTGTAGGAATATGTGATAAATATAAAAGAAAAAATCTACGATTTTCTTTTTGTTTAGAAGTGAAAAAAATATGTGTTATTATCGGTAAGCTTTCACCTTTTTTAAAGATTCGTTTTTATTTGTTTGTTTTTTTTCGGCGATATTTATAGGATGAAAGTGATGATGATTGATAATGATAATGATGAATGAATTTTATAATGAACTAGTCATTTGTTTGCCTTTCAACTTCTTTTTTATTTTTCCTTTGGTGCAGATAGTTGTTCATCAAATACTTCTAAGAGAGATTTATCAATAAAATTTATCATATTTTTCTTTTTAGATAATGTTTATAGATTACCTTCCTCATAATATTTTATATCATTTATGTAAATATTTATTATTTATTTATATTATCAACTTATCAAAAACATGCAAACAATTATATATATTAACTGAAAATGATAATTATTTTTGGATGATGTTAATTAAAAATCATTTTGGTTTTAAATTATATAAACGTTATGTTCATGAAATATTTATAACGAAAAGAATTCAGATTATGTTTTATATCGTACGAACAAAGACAAAGAAAAATTTGAAAAATATTTGAAAATAAATAAATCATATCTTGTATGTATTACATGAGTATTCAATATATTAAATTGTAAAGATAGTATTGATAGTAATTTAGCTTATAAAAGTGTAATGAAACAAAAAAAAACATCCACGTACAAATGATTTACGAATGTCTCTTACAATAGAAGAAGTATTTGATTATTATTTTAAAAGAAATAGCTATTTAACTAAAGAAAATATTTTACAAATATCATTTTATAAATTAATTTATTTTTATTTAATTGAATTAAAACGTTTACTAGCTGTAAATTGAGGGTGTGGGTGTGAATATAAGTTTTCATGAGAAAAGGCAACAGCACCTACAATTACACCCACACCCTTTCAAGCTTCGGGTTTCACTCAATTCCGCATCAATAATCAGCCATTTACAATATCTCTTTGAATTCAGCCTCAATCTCGGATAGGTACACTCGTACACGTCTCCACTACATCAACTGGCAATGGATCATGGTGCTTTCCACTCATAGGTTTTGCTTCGAATGGTTCGCTCGTTGCTCAAATCTATAATGGAGCAACAATATTATCGGTCACTGCATCCGTTATTATTCCTCTCTCATCACCATTCTGGACTCATATCGTACAAACGTGGAGTTCGACAAATGGTCTTCGTCTCTACATTGACAATATTCTAGTTGCTTCTCGATCATCAGCAACAGTATTCGCTGCTAGTGGAATGACACCCAATTATTTGACATTAGCTAGTAGCCTTTCAGGATCGGGATCGTGCTGGGCAGGTGGAATCGATCTCGCCAGTTCGTTCACAGGTAGTGTCGATGATTTCAGAATTTATAGTTGAGAATTATCAGCAACTGATGTATGTGCTTTATATATTGGTTAAAATATGAACAGGCCAAAACAGAAAGTCTGCATTTATTGAAACACTAACTAAGAACTATAATATTTTGAGACCCGAAATGAATAGTTGAGTCGATCGTGATAGCACCCACTTGATGATGGATCGATTCCTCTTCCACCTTCTTCTTATGTTCTCTCTATTGTTTGTTCTTCTGTTCATTCTTGTCTTCCTCTCCCATATATTAACTCATTCGGTGTATTAGATAGATATACTAAAGAAGTTTACATTAACTCAATAAAAACTATTATGAGACTGGCGGGAAGGACTATCCTTCACGTTGTCGTTAGACCCGTTATTACTGTCAATTAAGAGAAGTACTGCAGTTCCTCCCTATCTTTAGGGTTTGAGTGAGGGTGGATGAGTATGGTTTGAAAAAGACGTAGATAATCCTTCATTTTATCTGTTCACAATTATACACATTCAAAATCCTTATCGAATATCCACAATGATATGCATTAAGTAACACGGGTGTGGGTGTGGGTGAGGTTGAAGAAAAGACAAACACCGACACTCACATTCACACCCACTCACACACCCCACGCCAACACTCACACCCACGTCCACAGCCTTGCGGCAAATAAGTGAGAAAAAAGGTTGAGATTGTATCAAGAACAATGGAAAACAAAAAGCAATCTATTTTCTCTGCATTACTCGATTAATTCATTCATCCATAGTCGTCATTGAATTGAGGAAGTAAAATTACTTTCTCACGATGATGATGAATAGGAGAAAAATGCTAATTTCCAAAACATTTCATCGTTCTCCACTCATTTAAATACTAAGCGCCACGTGTCTAGAACAGGAGTGAGGGTCGAACGACGATAACGTTTTTTTTGGTTGCTCTTGCTTTTAGCTTCAATGTCTTTTCTCTTCTGTGGCTGATTAGAGGTAAAGGAGAATACAGCATAAGTGTTAAACAGTTCTGTGTGTTCTTATTATAAGCGCAAATTCGCAAGCAAATATGATGCGTCACTTCCTCAAAAAGAATGTTTAATATTCCTTTCATGTTTGACATTTATTTATTGCTCAAAAAGCCAGAGGACGAATTATAATGAGTTATTTGAAAAAATATTTTATTTTGATGTTCATGACGATAGATATAAAATGTTTCTATGTCACAACTCGTAGCGTACATCAGGATGCTAAAGATAATGAGGCAATAATATCATATATAAATGAAATCAAATATGAACTCACCCAATCACAGGGTTCCTTAACAGCTGCTTCACGTTCATACTCCTCTGGTGATAAATTTGTTCGTCGATGATTTTCTCTCATTAAACAAACGCGTAAGATAATGGTAAGAATCAAACTGGCAGCTATCATTCCACCACAAATTCCATGGCCACGTCGATAGGTCGGTTTATCAACGTCTCTATAGATCTATGAATAAAACTGTTACTATTAATAGTCTGTTAAAGTCACTGACATGTTACAAATCGGCTTCAGAGGTTATCCTATAAGTTATTACGGACAGCAATCTTACCAGAGGCGTGACAATGCTACTGATTTGAGCAATGCCGATAACGAAGCTGATTGCCATTGCTCTTTTTGTATAACCCCCGACGTTATTTGTTAACCAAGAGAGTAGTAAAGGAAATGCAGAGAGTATACCACAAAAAGCAACACTAGTACTGAAATAGATTGCCATTTTGCCTTGATCAAACAGAATGAGCATCAGGATAAATCCGAATAAACCGACCGACAGACAAAACGCGACATGATAGCCATGTTCGTTTCGACATGATGACGAATAACTAGCCAGCAAACAGCAAACATATGCGACAACATAAGGTGGTGATGTCATTAAATGTGCTTCAGTTTTGTAGTAACCCATACTTTCCATCAGTGTCGGAAGAAATGTTGTGAGACATTGGATAACGACTAAATTGCCAATAGCGATCAGGCCATAGAAATAGATTCGCCAATCAACAAAAACATAACGAACTTGTCGCCACGAATGTCGAGTACTTGGTGTGGAATTACGACCGGCTACACCAGCATCATTTTGAAGAAGATTTGTCAATAGCTGTTTCTCAATATTATTCAACCCTAAATTTTCAAAAATAATCTTGAATACATTCGATCCTCCTTCAAACTCTTACACTGGACAGCATTGGGTACATTGTCAAGGAAAAGATAGGTAATAATGCTAAGCGGGATGGTTGGTGAACCTTCGAGCAAAAACATCCATTGCCAACTTTTCAAACCATGGATATCTTTCAATTTTTGCATACCGTAACTCTAAATTAATGATAATAATAGATTCTATGAACTCAAAATAAATGGTCTTTGATGACATCGGCGAGTACGTACCAGAACACCGGCGAGAGCACGAGAAGCAATGGCTGCACCATACAGAACAGCTATTCTCATGGTTTGGTCTCTTTTACAGTACCAAAGAGAGAAATAAATGATGATACTAATAAAATAGCCCGCTTGTGCCACACCCTTCAATGATAATTCGCAAATGTTTTCTTCTCAGTTGAGATCCCCAAATTAACTTACAAGGAGAAAGCGGACTATGAGTAGTTGTCGAGCATTAGTTACAAAAGCCATACCGACCGTGATGCTGCCCCATGCAAACATACTCAATGCCAGATAATGAGTCACCCCGATCAAGTGCAGGAGAAAGTTGCTCGGAATATTAAAGAGCTAGTATGAAAAGTTACATCAGAACATAGTAAAATCAAATGACGTCATCTTCTTACATGGGCAGTATAAAAGACTGAAATGACTAATTGATTCTCTGAGTCTGACATATTCAGATCAGTTTGAATATCCATCAGTTTAGTGTGACCTTGAAGAAGATCATTGATGGCGAATGATTCAAGTCAAAAATACATACCCATGCTCACTTGATTAATGAATGAACTAATTTCCAGGAGAACAAGAAAAGGGAGCAATCTTCGATCGAGCTTCCGAATCAACCGACGAATGGCATTGGCGTACCATCGTTTCTCATCGTTTTGATTGACCACAGAAATATTGCCGATAGCTCTCAAGTCTGTCAGCAATGGTTGTATTTGTATTATTGTTACAGGCCCACTCATATTAAGTGATGTAGATTTTCTTTTAATCGAGTATCAACATTCGCTTTTTTCAAGTAAAATATTTTTCTTTTTCTTTGCGTAGAACGCATTTTTCTATTCTCTAGAAAAGAATCGATTAATGCTTGCAAAAAGAGAAAGAAAAAAAACAGGAACAAGGTCGAATATTGGTTCGATTATTCTTTTTCTCAAGTAGAACTAACAAAAAAGTTCGATTGCTCTTGTTCCAAAAAATCTGATGTGAGCTCGGCGGATATAACGGGTGTTCCATAAAAATGATGGTCTCAATATTTCGTGGATATCTCTTTTAGATTTCATTGACTGAACTTGAGTTTTTCTGAAAAGACTCCGTTCAATGCTCTATAACAGTGCAGAATCTGGTTAAATTTGTATGTGTCCTTCCTTAATCAGACAATGAAGAAGGAATATTTTCGACATCTTGTTTTTTCTAAATGTGAAGGTGGCGATGGTCTAACGAAAATTTTTCGTAATTTAAACGGTGCATTGGGTCTTCAGACAATAGAGAGATTGTGCACGATGATCCGAGAGAGGGCGTGGTTGTTGATGTGGAGTGCGAGTATATGGTTGTGGGTGTGGAATGGGGTTGTGGGTATGGATGCGGGCATTTGAAAACTTGAGAATGCACCCACATCCACACCCTGTTAGTTATAAATAAGTAAAAAGAAGCATTTAAATATGTGCCTATGGAGAGTTGATGCCTTCGAAAGATACTTCTTTGAAGCCTATGAGAGATCTGTTTGTAGTCCTACTCATGACAGTATCGATTGTGGGTGTGGGTGTGGGTGTGGGTGGGTGTGGGTGTAGGTGGGTGTGGGTGTAGGGTGTGGGTGTGGGTGTGGGTGTGGGTGGGTGTGGGTGTAGGGTGTGGGTGTGGGTGTGGGTCTTTTCTTCAATGACACCCACACCCACCCCACACATTCCTTCTGCCTAGAAATTCCAGGATATTCTAAGGAGTTTTAAATCTATATATGAACGAACTTTTATCTTGTTTTACTGGACTCTATTTGTTATGAATAGAAGGGTTAGGATCAGAACCAACAAAAATCTGTCTCTTAGGTTTCTAATTAGAGTCATTTGTCCAGTTCTGTCCATATAATCGCTGTTTTTGAAGAATATATATTTTTTTAATGCATTGTGATCTCATCAGTCAAGAATTTTAAAATTCGTTTTGTGGAACTCACCTATATTTTTCGAAGAAAATAGTGAGTGAAAGTTTTAATCCTTTCGAGGCGATGCCGCCCAGTGGTGGGCGACGCTATAGTTTAACGAGAAACTGTATAGAAAAACACTTTCTTTTGCTTTTTTCTTAGGCAGGAAGTTAAACACAATGTGAATTCTGCTGTGCCCTGGATATGTTTTTTGATTCTTTTATTCCATAGCATGATATTTCTTATTAAAACAATCAAGATAAAAGAAGTAATTACAGTCAGAACAAAAGATTTTTATTTTCTTTGCTGTCGGATAGCTCTTTTCTCTTGATTGTGGTTCCTTTCCTTTCTCATAGCAGTCTACACTGTCTGCGAACATTGCGCGCAGATTCTTCGTTTTCTGCAAGCTTTTGATCAGCTAGTTTACACTTCGAATTACTTGTTGATTGTTGCTTCATACCAAGTTTCAGCATTTCGAATGACGTACTAAGACGTAACGATCGTACAAGATTCACAAAACTGTAGCATGGTCACATGGCTTGTGTCATAATTCTCCTTGTAAATCAAGTAGGCGTTAACTATTGCCATTCCAAATATTAATTCAGATGTCACCCATTGATATCATTTCATGGATCCCCTGAGGCATGTATAGTATGCTGATAGCTAATCAGATAAATGTATACCTTGTTTTCCTCCACTGGAAAATGCTCAATGATGAAAATAAGAAGAATATGTCTTCTAATTGTACTTATAGGAGATGTAGATCATAACAGAAAGAATCAAAGATGATGCTTCGAAAAGAAAACAAAAACAGATTGACATTTTGTTTCTCTATATTGTTCCTAGTGCAAATACATATGAGAGAAAGAGAAAAGCAAACTTGAGTAACTATTCAGTTCTACGTGGAACAAGATCGCTGTGTAATGGTACAAACAAGAAAAAGAGAAATGAATGACTGTATATACTGAAAAGTCCAACGAGTGCATTTATCGAGAGTGAATAGACATGAAGATGAATGTGTTAAAGTTATTTTCTATGAAAACCAAATCGCCTCGAAAGGGTAAAGTTCAAGTTTTAGCGGCTTTCCCCACCCCCTTCCCCCTTCTTCATTACAGACACCTAGCAACGCAGGTCCTTATTATAGACCTTAGTAATTAAGAATAACAGGGGTGAGACTTTCTAGTTTTTTTGAAAAATTGATCAAGTTATAATTTTGAAAGATAATCAACATCATTGTTTGTGAGCTGATTAATACATATAATAGTGCGTAAGATCTTCTGTAGACATCATGGATATGTAAAACAGATTTATTTGCCAATTAATTCAATAATTGTAATAATGACAATGTTGAATTATGAAAAACGATTTAAAAAAAATGAAAGGTAATGAACGAATAGCAACAATGCAAAATAAAAATAGGGTGCTGTCAAACAAAAAAAAAATTCTGTTTTAAATGAAGAAATAAATAACAAAGTCTCGCTCTTGCCATTGATTACCAATGAAAAGAGCTACAGTATACACGAAATTTTTCAGTTTACATATGATGCATCAGAATATTAAGTTTTAAGGATATACGTGAGTTCCACATTTCAACTTCAAAAGAGATGCACTAACAAGCTTGTTTTTTAAATATTCTTTATAACTTTGTAAATTTTACTTGTTCTGTTGCATAAAGTGTGTTCACGTCTAGTAATCATTGTTCAATATGATTTCCATCATGTACATCAGATTCAAGTTGTCGTTCAATTTCTTCATCCATTTCAGCATCATCAGCTATCCTCTTATTTGAATCCTAATTAAAAACAAAAAAAATGAACCATTTTGCTTTGGCATTAACTAGTTACTGCAAGTTTTTTCATGAGCACAGCGACAAGAATGTTGATAAGTACAAATTGAGCCACAAGAATGAAAACAACAAAATAAATCGGTGAAATTATAGTCATAAAGTGATTTTTGCCAGCACGAGGTGAATCATCTTGACGTAAAGTATCCTTTAAAACAATATTTATGATTAAAAGAAAAGAACTAAGTGTTTTTTTCAATCACTTACTTTCAGGATACTAATCCAGTTATCGCCTGTTGCAACACGAAATAATGTAAGAAGAGCCATGCCAAAATTTTTAAAATGTGCATGTTTATTAAGACCACTACATGGTTGTTCTTCACTACATTCTAATTTTCCAAATAATTCAACACCAAGTGTAGCAAAGATAAAGAAAAAAAGAAAGAATAGAAGACCCTAATTTCAAAGAATAAGAAAAAAACTTAAACAAATTCGTCAAAAACAACCAAATAATTCGATTTACCAAATTTCCAATTTGTGGAAGAGAATGAACAACAGTATCTAATAGAGCTCGAACCCCTGTGGCTATTTTCAGTAGTTTGAGTACTGAAATAGAAAAGAAAAAAAAATCTTTTATTCAGTGTTACTCTATTCATTTACCTCGTGTAATTCTGAATATTCTAGTCACACGAATAAGTATAGGATTTATTGGAAGAATATGTCTACTTAGCATTTTGTCCATTACAATACCAGCTATTGATAAAAGTACAATAAATAAATCCAATTGATTCCATCTTAAAACAAAAATCAAATAAGAAAAAGAATCTCAAATAAATTTTTTCCTTACTTATCTTTAAAATAATATGATGGTCCAATTGCAACAATTTTCCATATAAATTCAAGTAAGAATACAACCGTAAATGCATAATTACAATATTCAAGAAACTTGTCCAAGTCCTAAAAAACAAAATATTTTGACAATATAAACAATTAATGAATCATTTTTTGTTCTTCCTTACAGATGGCATAGAATAATATTCAAGTGACATTGTAACAACATTAAGAACAATAATAGCAGCAATGATTAAATCAAAATATTTACTAATGTATGCGTCATGCAAACATTTACGCCATAGTGGAAAACGTGCATGATATGGTAATTCACGAAGAAGACGTTGTTGACGTTCAATTTTTTTTGCACGTTTTGCTCTATTTCGAGCTTCTTCTTCAAGTTCTTGTTGAGCACGACAATCATGAAAACTTTTAATAATAACACCAATAAACATATTAAGAAGAAAAAAACTGACAATTAAAATAAATGATATAAAATAAATTGATTTTGTTTCACTATAATTCTTTATTGGTTGCATTTCAACATCAACTGCATCAATACCATTATACATTATTTGTACCCAACCATCTTTTAATGCAAGAACAAATAGCGTTAGTAGAGCCTAAATAAAAGTAAACAATTTTTTTAAAAATTATCTTAATGACAAAAGTATATTTGATAACATACTCGACCCAAATTATCAAAATTATATTGCTGATTTTTCCATCGATGATCGGACATTGCTTCACATTGTTGTCTTGTTCTTACCTTATGAGCGAAAGGACCCTCACAATAGTAGAATTTACCTTTGAAAAGCTGAAAAAAAGAATTTTAAAAGTAAATAATGAGATCGAAGAATTGTGAAAATGCATGAAAAAAATAAAAGATTTCTGATATCAAATTTTGAGAACTACGGAGCCACAAACTATTATGGATTTCATGGAAGATCGGATGTAGATGAAAATTAACCAAGGATATGAAATAGAAGTCAGCTGAATAAATGTTCAGTGCTACAACCCTACGGGATCAACATACGAAAAAATGCTAGTGTCTAGATGGATGGCGTCATGCTAGTCTGATCGGTAAACTTCAGAAATTGCTGGATCTTTGAGCAGGAATTCGACAACCAGCTCTTCCCATTTTCGATCATACTGAGCATAAATAACCGTAGAGTTCCACTTTCATGGTTCATTTATTTCCAAAGATTTTCAGCCGGACACCATCTATTAGAATTAGTCCTGTCTCGTTCCAAGACTATGCAATATAAGGCAGTATCTTCGTGGATCTCTACCATATGGAGTTATTTTTACCGAAAGAAATAATAAGAACTTGATGTTATTTAGCTTAAGAGCTCGATCTTATTTCCGTTCCAGCTATCTCAGGAATATGAAACGTGCACAGAAGATCATTCAAACAGAAGCACAATATCTGAAAAAATTGATTCCTAAATTTTGAATAGTAATCACTTCTTAGAAAACAAGAATTTTTTCATTTTATTCTTCAATGATACTTAAAATGTGGCGAAAAATGAATACAGTAAAACTTTTGACTAGATTTCTAATATACTATAGATGAGTATCGAACTTTATCCATCGGAATCAAAAATCATTTTTCGTACTGTCTTATAAAAACTTCAAGAGTAAATCGTTTTGAACTTTTTTATATCGGTCTGTATTTCTCTCTTTTACCTGAACACCAAGAATGCCAAAGATGATAAAGAATATACAACAAATAATAACAATATAACAGATTGGTCTCAATGACGAAAGTAAAGTTTGAACGACAAGCTTAAGACCAGGTGCTCGATGGATCACTAAAACGATAATAATGAGAAAATCAATCAAAAGAAAAGAAAAAAAACAATCTTCTCCAACCTGTGAGTGCTCGTAATGTTCGTAATAAACGAAAGACTCTTAACATGCTCAGAATATGTGATGTTGTATCCGACTCTATGGGTGATGTAATACTACCTCGATTCATCGTAATAAGATCAACAACTGAAATAATTACAAGAAATCCATCCATAATATTCCAGCTGGTATGTAAATATGTATTAGGTCCAAAAATAAGTCCATTTGCAATTACTTTAATCATCATTTCAACAGTAAAAATAGCTGTAAATAAATAATTAGAATAGTTCAAAAATTGTCGTTCCTATAATATAATTGTAATTGTTAGCTTTTAACTTGAAAATAAAAAAACTAAGTGATTACATACAAAACTTATAGGAGAAATTGATGGACGTTCCATAGCGAGTGTAATACAATTGAGAATAATAAAGAAAAGAATTAAATAATCAAATGATTTTTGTACAATTAATCGTTGAAATATTTTGCGTAGTCTATTGAAGGAAATGAAATCACAACATTTCATATTCGAATTATTCTTAGAACAAAATTTTACCCATTCGAAGGTGAAAAAAGATAAAGTGAATAGTTTTCTCGTTTTTTTAAACATTCTAATATTGTTTGTCTACAATATCGACTTAAACATGATCGAATGACCTAAATTAAAATAGAATTTATGTAAAGAAGAGAATGAAATATATATATTCATTATTAATTTTGATTTTAATAAACTTTCTGACGCATGAGGAAAGTACCCGAAGTGATTTACCGCTGTGGAGCTCATATTTTGGGCATATAGAGGAGACCTTTAGACTAGAATAATCCTAAATGGATTCGGACCCATAGGTTTCCTCCACAGAGTTATAACCATTTTACTTGAGTTTTAACCTATGGCACGGTATGTACAAACAAATTGACTGGTAGTATTTCGATTTGAAAATTCTGTCCGGAGATAGGTCTACTTGTAATTCGAATGCTATGAAAATTTCAAATCGAAATACTGCCAGTCAATTTGTTTATACATGCCGTGCCATAGACTAAAATTCAAGTAAAATGGGTATAGCTCTGTAGAGGAGGCCTATGAGCCCGAATTATTTTAGGATTATTCTAGCCAAGAGGTCTCCTCTATATGCCCAAAATATGAGCTCAAAAGTGGTGAATCACTTCGTATACTTCCCTCGTCAGATCAATCACATCCGACCGGTAGATTCATTGTCTCTAAAAATTTTGGACTCGGATCCGATTACAAACAATTTTTCGGGTTGACCTTCACATGGATGTGAATAGATTTGATACATTTTTTTTCGATTACTGACATGTCCTACATGTTGTTTGATGACACTAAGGGATAGGGATGCAAGAGTCAAAATTTTTGCTATGAAATACTAAAGCTAGCTGAGAAAGTAATAATAAATGAATATTTTCCAGGTAAGTATTTATTACTTTGAAATGAATTTGAAATAAAAATTAATATTTACTCGTGATTTCTGAGTTGTTAATTCCAGTTGTGTATCATTCCCAGTTGACACATCTAATTGCATATCATTTTGATTGTTTATCGGTAGTTGAGTATCAATAGCAAGTCGTATAGTACTGCTAATATTTGATTCTGTATGTTTATAATTTTTTTCTTGATTTCTTGGTGTTTGATAAATATTTGTCGATACATTTTGATTAAATGAATATGGTGAATTATCAATTGTTGATCGACGGTTAACAATTGAATTAAAGCATGCATTTGTTATATTATTCGATTCTTGTTCAATTAAATTCTCTTCATGAATAATAAAATATCGTGTTGATGATGATGGAAATGATGGTTCAGAATTTGTACGACGTACAGAACCAGCTAATATATCTTGCCGTCGATCATTTTTCTTATCATCATTACTGAGTTTCACACTTGTTGATTCATCGAAATTGTCAAATTTTTGAATATTACCTGTAATTATTGCTTGTGTCTGAAAATAAATATTTCTTAAAGATATTAGAACTTTTGTTTCCTTTTATATTTCTTACTTTAAATGGATTTACTTTGTCCAATCTATCCGTACTATTATTATTATTTGTCATATCATCTTCTTTCTAAATAAAATAAAAATAATGATAAAATATTAAAAAAAAAATAACGTTAATTTACTTCATTTGAAAAACTATCAACAAGAATAGCAATTAGTAAATTGACTAATATATAATGGCCAAATATCATAAGTGCAATAAAATATAATGCTGACCATGGACTTGTCTTTTTCATTCCATTATAAAGTACTTCATTCCAATCTTCTTGTGTTATGATCTATTTTATATGATACAAATTAGAATTATTCAAAAAGATAAATAAAATGATTAATAGAAAGGATATATTTGCTTTAAGAAGAAACAAAAACAATAAAGCTGAGAAATATGTGCAAGAATGAACAATAAAATCCTATTGACTAATATTTTATGATACCTGAAATACGGTTACTAATGCAAAATGAATTGAATCGAAGGTTGTTCTTTCTTGTATACATGTTAAATCTTCGAGATCAGTAGAATTTTTTAATAAATTCCATTCGACACATGTACAACAACGGCATTTCATATTAATTTGTTCACGTGATGTTCTATTGAATGCTTCAAGCATGCAAAATTCACCACCGAATAAATGCATACCAAGAACGCTATTCAAATTTAGAAGAGAAAATAAAATAACGTATATATGTGTATGATGACAAAAAAAACCGGCTATATAACTACGGTTTGTTTCAAGGAGTTGTTTGCTGTGTTCTACTTAGATATATTTGAGAAATTTACAACGAAAAATATGCATTCCCAAAGTAGTTAAGACGAGAAAGAGGACAAAATAAAAATATTTATTTTTCTATAGACTTACCTGAAAATGAATATGAAGAGCGTTAATAATAATAGAAATGCTGCAACACTGTTCAATGTTTTAAACATGACAATCTAGATAATAAACGATAAAATACAGCAACAAGCGTTGAAGTATATACCGAGAAATTTGAGTCACCTGCTTCCCACATACAAGAACTCTTATCTACTATTTCAACAGCTTCATCATAGTTTACATTTTAATCTCCTAGGGGGAAATGTTCAAACCTTTTTCATTTTATTTGTGAAGATTTTCTGATTAGCTGTTGTCAAATCTGGTAAACGGTCTTATTAAATTAATCATTGAAGACTCCGTCAGCTATCTACTTAGAGGCAACTCCTTAATTAAACGCGACGACGACAAAACGTTCAACTAATACACTATGAAAATTTCCTTTGCTCGTCTTTCGATCATTATTTTATTCATTGTTAAGGAAACGTTATATTTTTTAAAATAAACTACTCAGGTCAAACAAAACGATTCGTAAACGACAGTAAGCGAGGAAAAAAACGATATACTCATAGCGACTCGTTAGGTTACCATATACAAACGTCCGTTTCCGACAAGTTACAGGTGAATTACGGAGTATCGCATACGATGCCATAACGGTGGTTTTCACTGTAAACGGCCCCGTTACGATCTCTATTTTAACTGATCTGGGTGTTAAACTGTAATCTAACTCACCAATTGTCGTCTTAATGTTGGCATAAATCGAACAAGTTTAATTACACGTAATAATCTAAATGTACGTAAAACAGATAATCCCCTATTTTTTGTTGGATATAATTCAATAAGACTAATTAAAACTATTCCACCATCAAATATATTAAATAAATTTTTAATATATTTTAAACAACCTTCAGCAATTATTCTAAATAACATTTCGATTGTAAATAATATTATAAAAACATAATTGCTATATTCTAATATATTTGTTAATGATTGTGGTTGTCCATGATATTCAATAGCCATTGAAAGTGTATTTATAATAATAGCTAAGAAAATAATGCGATAAAAATATTTACTAGCAACAATATGTGAAATTAATTTTTTTATTATTATAAAAGGTAAACAACAACAAATTTTACATCTTTGACGAAATTTTGATTTTTCTTCTTTTTCTTCTTCTTGATTATTGTCGGATGTAATAACAATTTCATCTTTATAATAACAATCACATATATCATTTCTTTCTAGTTGTTGTTCTAATTCAAGATTTTCATTTTTTCGTCGATTTTTTTCAATAAATGAATTATTACTTGCTGACATTGGAACAATTACGTCTAGACAAATGTCATAAGTATCAGTGTCACGGTCAATCGATTTTGATAATGGCGTTGATACTAATAATGATTGAGATTGATGATATCGACAGTTTGATCGATGTTTTTGACTAGTTAGTGAAGTTGACGAGATTATATTGACATTACGTGAAGATAATGTATTTGGTGTTGTTACCTGTAAAAAAATAATTATTTCATTTTATTTCTTTTATACGTATAAATATTAATCAAAGTCAAATGGTTCTTGAAATGGAACAAGAATTTTTTCGTTAGATCTATTTTTTTTGAAGGTACTTTAAATTCAATAGAGGATTTCTCTTAGTAAACTCGATTACTTTTCAACAATCGATCTAATCCAATAGTCAATCAACGGCAGTTGAAGAGAAAGACATCCTCTAGTTAATGTTGAGAAACTGATCAGTTTCCATCAACTACTCAGGACACAAAAAATTGTCATTCTCAATCTTTAGTAAGTTGTCGACGACTCATAGTGAATCTTAAAAGATGTGAACGAATAAAATTTGATGCTATCTCTGAGATGAAAATTTTTCCTAATCTTTTTATGATCTAGAAATATTCGGTACTGTAGACTTCAATTCATATGGCAAAAGTATTATTTACATAATCCAATTGATTGATCTTTAATCGACTGACTAGAATTTATTCTTTGAAAACTACCATTTCGATCTTTTCCGATTAGAAATTGTTAATCGGATTAATTTTATGCAATTTTTATCATACTTACTTTATCACGTTTTTGTCGATAAGTTTTCCAGAATATTCTGAATCGTTCATATGTACGTTTTGATAATCGTTGAAAATATTTAATTATTTCTTTCCAACAAGAATCTTGTTGATCAATTGTTACTGTAGCTATTGAGAGTGAAAAACGTCTTTGTTCAGTTAAAACTCGTTCTGTTTCACGTTTTTTTGTTTCATGAAATTGTGTAGAAATAACAACAAGACAAAGATTCATCATAAAAAATGAACCAATAACAATAAGACATATAAAATAAATCCAATCCCAAAATGAATGTGCATCTTGTATATAATACATTATATTAATCCAATTTTCAAAAGTAATTATCTAATTAAATAGAAAAAATGAACATAGAAATATTTAATGAATAAATAAATAAATAAGAAACGAACTTGAAAGATAGCAAGCCATGCTGAAATAATATTATCGAAATTAATCAATCCAGAAAATGGATTTTTATCAGAAATGGCACATAATTGATAATATTGATTCCAATTAATACATCTATTTATTATTTTATTTGTTAATAATGAATTCAATGAATGAAAATCAAGTTCACATGTCATATTATCTCGACGAGATTGTGGAATTTCTGAACATTTTGTCATTCCACTTGATGATGGATCAGAACAAATAAATGAATCTTGATCAGGAGGAATATAAAAAGATTGAAGAGGAAAATCACTTCAAAAAAGAAAATACAAAAAAAAAAGACGAAATATTTAGTTTTCGATAAACATACTCGAATAATGCATAATTATCTATAATTGTAGTATTCAGTTGTAAAAAACAACGATTACGTAATAATCCTTTCCATAATTGTACACCAATAACACCAAAGATGAAAAAAATAAAAAAACAGAGAAGAAATACATTGCCAAGCATACGTAATGTATCGAGTAGAAGCATAACAAGAATACGCACCGATGGTACACGCTTAATGGCACGTAATGGACGAAGTACTCGAACTGTACGAATAGCTGATAGACTTAAATTATCACCTGGTATCAACAATTCCACTAATCTAAAAGTTAATAGTTAACAACTTTTCATTTTCATCTTTACATTTTATTCTCTCTTATAGATCCGAAATATTCGTTTCAAAAGAATCAATCTTACTGTAAAAATTATTTTTTGTGTATCATGATGAAACATTAAAATTGAAACTTGAAAACATAGTTTAGAAAGAATTTTAAAAGATCCTTGTCAATGTTAATTTTCAAAATATCTCTTATTGATGATTGTTTCAAAAAATTCAGGCCTTGAGAGCTCTCAAATGACTTCAAATAAACAGAAACTCTTTTAAAGTTCTGCATAAAAAATGTTCGTCATTTCCGATGATTTTTATAGTTAAACTCGTCAAATTTTTGTGAAAGAAAACTTCAGTTTTTTTTTGTTTAAAACAACAGTTGATAAGATCATACTCGCTAAGAACAATAAAACAATCAAGTCGATTCCATGATTCAGCAAGATAAGTTTCTTTACCAAATATTCCCATCGCTGTCATTTTAATACACATTTCAATTGTAAAAAATGCAAAAACAAAATAATCGGTTACTTGTGGCCAAATACAAAGTGCTGTATCACATTTTTTCAACGACTCTATATCAGTATCATGTGCACATGGTTGATACATACCAAGTGTAATACAATTAAGCAAAATAACAAATATACTTATACGTTCAAACCATGGCCATGTTATAAGTTTTAAACATTGATAACGTGGTGGTGTTGTTTGTCGAAGCCAATAAAAAGCTTTTTCAACAAAACCAGGAAATGGTAATTTGTTTTCATCTTTTTCTTCAAGATTACATGAATCGGGTAAATCGGATAAAATATTTGATGCACTATGTTCATTAAGAAAACAATTAGTTTCATCTATATGTGAATCATCATTTGAAATATTAACAATTGTTGGTAATGATGTATGAAGAATGTTTTTATTTATCATATTAATATTATTAATATTATTATTATTTGCAGTTGTCAAGCGATATTTATCCGTGATCAAGCAATGCCTGTTACTGCATGATCGAAATGAAATGGAAGGTAACGATGACTAGCATCGTCAAGCACCTAGAAATTAAGAAAGCATTATTTATATTTAACGTCAACAAACTAGATCTATGTTATCATCAATTGTTTCACATGTCATCAATTTCAAACTCAACTTTTCAATGTAGACATATTTTGACATAATGCCCATCAAATTATAAAAAATTATATGTATATACAAGGTGTCCTAAAAATTCAAACGAAAAATAAATTCCTATAATTTCACTACTTATCGAACTTAATCAAGTAATTTTTCTTTTTATTCAAATGATATACAACCGTCAATCTTTTGTCGATTTCAAAAAAAGAATACTATATAGAATTTCTCTTTTGATCTTTCAAGTTCTTGCGTCTTTTGTGGCGTTTAGATTGATCAGATCTTGTGCTATCGTTTGTATGCCTTTGCTTTGATATTACACTACAAAAAAAAAAGCCTTATATTGTCAGATCCGGCAATTATGAAGTCCATGAGACTGATCCACCTCTACCAGTTCACTAGTCATCGTGCAAAAAGATAGCATGATCTCATGGGCTTCATGATTACTGGACCTGACAAGATTAGGCTTCGTTTTGTAGTGGCATATCAAAACAAAGATATACAAATGATAGTCCAAGATCTAGCCAATCCAAACGCCACAAAAGACGCAAGAACTTGAAGCATCACAAGAGAAGCGCTGCGTAGTATTTTTTTTTGAAATCGACAAAAGACTGACTGTTATATTTCAGTCGAAACTGATAATTTTGGACATTATTTGTGAAGTTTATCTGGATAAATAAAAACTTCAAAGTGATATCTATCATTTGCATTAAAAAAATTAGTTAATTAAGTTTGATAAATAGTGAAGTTATGGGAATTTACTTTTCTCACGAACTTTTAGGACACTGTGTATATTTGAAGTTACTATTCAATAGTACCCAAGAATGATTGGAGTCAAAAAAGAACGAGTGAATGCACTAGACATCATTTAAATGAATGCAAAAAAATTAAAAATAGTGTGAAGATAAATACATTATTTATCTTCTGTTATGACAGTGTTCACTGATGCATAGATAATTTTCTTTTCACCTTGTTGAAAAAAGGCAAGCAGTCAGATAGAAGAGTCCGTAGATAATGTTTTTTTTTCTCGTCTCTCACGAAACGAAGGTTACCTCCAATTAATATATGAAGCGAGAAGAAATAGCATACTTTCGTCAGCTCTATTACATTAACGAAACATGTGTAGGTAATCAGATATGAGAGCAATTACACATACATTTTTCGCCTTTCGTTGTACACCAAATCATTGCTAATTGATATTTTCTAATGTACGAAGAGAGAATCAACGACGCATGTGCAAACTCTCTTGAGGATAAGAGTTAGAGGTTTGAAGATATTTAAATTTAATAAGGCAGTACTTTTCTTTATATAATAATAATAACAAGAGCAAAAATAATGATTAATTGCTTTTTTCAATAATACATTAATTATTTTGCTTTTGAGATTTTTATTATTGATAAGAAATATAAAAATAATAAGTATAATGAAATTAAGAAAAAAATATTGTTATTTGAATAATCAAAAAAAAAAAGAATTCAAATGAGAGATTTATCGAATTTATCATTTTCAAGTGATTTTCTAAAAAAAAATTCATCACGATGAAGTGTGATCGGTGCTTTAGCAAATAATGTACAAGATCAATTACAAAAAATGTAGAAAATTCATTGGTAGGATATGAGTGTACGGATGAGAAAGATTGGAAGTGAATCATACGACATGTTTTCACAGTTACTCAAGTTGTCAATGATCAGATGGTTTTTAATTCTGTTGCATTTGTTCAAATGACACAAAAAAGCGACTCATAAATAAAAGTTTGTTAGCACAACTTTTTTGGGGCTGAAATGTGAAACTCATGTATGTTCTTCAGCCTCACTGAACTAATACAAAATACGTGAAGTGAAATACCTCTTGTAGACTATAGTCGTTTTGTAGGACAATCGAACATCAGATTAAAAACCTTTCTAATTTCTACATTTTAAACAGAAATTTTTTATTTCTTCTATAGATGCCCTATTTTTTGTTTGCATTATTGCTAATCACTCATTTTTCTTCATATTTTTAATTCATTTTTCTTAATTTAACATTCTTATTCTCCCGACTGTAGGGAGGATCATATGAAATAAAATGCGTTTGTGTCTACGTATGTGTCAAGGTCAAAAAGACATCAGAGACGAGCTTTATTTAAGCGTAACTTCTTAAGTTTCCCCAAAGGTAATTAAGGTCGGATTTTACATATTAAAAAGGTTGACGAAAGTAAATTTGGGTTGAGGAATTCAGATCTGAAGTCGATTTGTCGTAAGGCTTAACCGAACGTAACCGGGGTCGGGAAACTCGAATCTGAAGTCGGTTCTTCAAAATTTTGAGTTTGATATTTTTTGGGTCAAAGAAAGCGTTTTTCGAGAAAATAGCGATGTCGTAGAAAAGTTGGCGAGCCTAAATCGATATGCAGACATCCAAATCTTTAGTATATTGTTGGAAGTTTGCAGCTATAATTTTATAATCAGGGTAAGGCTTTTCAGGGAAACAATGAATTTTCGATGTACTGAATATTGAGTGGGTGTGGGTGTGGGTGCGGGTATGGATCTTCTCTTCAACAGAACTCACACCCTCACCCGACGGTCCATCGTTTATGTATGATCCTGTAGATGACAATCAAAAGAATATGTAGAAATAATTGATTTACCAAAAAAAGGTTTAAATAAACAAAAATATAATAAAGTTTCTGTTAAACATATTAAAACAATTGGACAAACAAATCTTGTTGAAAATTATTTTAATACTGGTCATTTTTATCAATAAAATATTTCTTCACATTTGATCTTCTTTTTTTCTCAACACACCTAGAGTTCTATACATTGCATCAGACTAGGATGATGCAATGCATACCCTTATATAAACCTTGTTTTTTTTTTCTATCTAAAAGAATCAATGGCTTCATCCCGTGTTGTTTCACGTCTTCTTGCACCAACAACTCTTAGTCGTTTGTCTGCAATAGGTAGTAAGAGTGGACCAGTGCGTTATTTTTGGCATCATCATCATCATCGTAAAAATTTGGCGGAAACGTATTTTGGTTCAGGGTCAAATGTATTTCAACGTTGGGAAAAAGAATTTGATCGAATACAAGAACAATTTAATCATTTTTTTCAAGATTTAAAAAATAATCGATCATTAACTAATGGAAATGGTAAATTTTGTTTCATAAAGATTCGATTATATTGATTTTATTTTAGGAAACAATTTTATTACAACTGAATCTGATGGTTCAAAAAAGTTTCATCTTTCTTTAAATGTAAATGGTTTTCAACCAGAAGAAATTAAAATAAAAACACAACATCGTACATTAACTATTTCAGCTAAAAAAGAGAAAAAAGTTAAAATTTAATTTAAAAAAAAAAATCTAATTTCTTTTTTTTAGACGAATAATAATTATTCTCTTCAAGAATTTTCTCAAACATATGCATTACCAGAAGAACTTAAAATTGATGATTTAAAATCAATTTATACAGAAAATGGTGTTCTTTCAATCGAAGCACCAATACCAAAAGAACAATCTGAAGATCGTCAAATTAAAATTGAACGTCATTAATAAACTATTATTTTTTTCTCGATTACGAAATAAAAATTTCCCATTATCCCCAGGCTGTAACCTCGTGAATAATAATAAGATTAATATACAACAAAATAAATAATTTCTATTGTATTTTGAACACATAGAATACGTTTGAGTAAAGATACGAGAAAAAAAAACAAGAGGATTACTCAGGAAAATCGTTCTTCGCTCTATATATGACAAATGACTCATTATTCTTTGCTTTGGCTGCATTTTCATCACGACATCTTTTCCATCCTCTATTGAAATGTGTTTTTTTTTCTATATTGAATGATCAATGTACCAATGAAATAATCATTCTAACGTCATTATATATAAAAATCTTCATATGTAAATTTAAAATGGCTTCAAAAATTTATACACCAACAAATCAAATTCGTTTAACAAATATAGCTAGTGTACATTAAATAAAGGTGGTAAACTTTTAAAAATAGCTTGTTGTAGAAATAAAGAGTATGATAATTTTCATTGATTTTTTTTACATTAAATAAGATTTTTAGAGAAAAAGACCTTGATGAAGTTCTTCAAACTCATACTGTTTTGTCAAATGTATCTAAAAGTCAAGCAGCTAAAAAAGAAGATTTAATCAGTGCATTTAATACTGATGATCAAATTAAAATTTGTTTTGAAGTTAAAAAACATTTCTTTTTTATAAAAAAAATAATGGTGTTTTTTATATAGATTTTAGAAAAAGGTAAATTACAAGTATCGGATAAAGAACGTGTATCTCATGTGAAAGTACTGATTTTAGGATACCCATAGACTGAGAAAGTCCTAGCAATGTTTTTCATGAGAATCTGGAATAGAATGTATGCGTACACTGTGTTTTTAGGGTGTGGGTATAGGTGCGATACAGTGTAATAGTAGTACCTACCTACGCCCACCCACACCTGCGACTACACCCACTCCCCACCCCACGCCAACCCACATTCACACCTCACACCCACACCCGCTACAAATGATGATAATGAAGAAAGTAAATTGGCTACTGTTAAACACGTTGGTTTTCCACTAAAACATACACTCGAAATACATTCGGTTTACGGTGATTATTTGATGAAACGAAACGGAAATATGACCTGTAACGAGTATACATTAAACAAAGACGGCATACCAATCGCTCAAGTTAGAAGAAAATTTCCAGCATTTGCTGAACGCTATAGGGTTGACATTGACGAACAGGTTCACGGGAGAGATATTCCATTCATATTGACTCTTGTCATTACGCTTTGGTGTGCTCAACGATAGCGGGGTCAAGGAAGTTGTAGTTAATAAATACTCACTTCAGAATTATGAGTAGTGACTGGTTGGGGTTCAATCTCATACTGTTTTAAGCTGTTTTCGTATTCGAAACTCGCTATCTCGATATTTAGATGCTTTTATTCTTGTATTTATCTTTTTGGTTCAATAAATATGTTCACAAAAATAACAGAAAAAGATCATCATGTTCTTATTTCGATATAACTCAAAGTGCTTTCGCTCGTCCTAGTTTCGTCTGCAAATAGCTAACCAACGGATAATATACAGCTTCATTCTCTAAGCATTACCATCAACTAGCTAGAAAAAGGAATTATTTAGTTTTTGAAGAAGAAACAAACTCAAAGGACAATCATGTCAGAGCAAGTCTTAATTAGTGAGCTGTGAGATACACACATTTGTCGAGACATATAGGGTAGCCCAAAAGTCATGCAATCAAAAAACAATCGGATTGATTTTTTTTTACCACTAATAAAGGCAAGTTCACACTAGAGGGTGTAGGTGCTGTCTTCCTCTTGTCACAAATCCACACCAACACCCTTCTCCTTTTTATTTAAAATTAATCATTAACTATATACAACAATGAAAAATATCCTAAACAACTAAATTTTTTCCACCATAAGTATCAATTACGATTAAAATACATAAAAAAGAATAAATATTGTGTTTTATTATTAGATTTCGATAATAAAAATCTAATTAATTTTTTAATTTCTTCTCTGTTCACTTCAGTTTTAAGATACTCTTATTGTAGTAATAAATTAACGATCAATTGAACTTCATCCCAGAAGCTACAATTACAGGAAGTTCTAGCTCACTTGTATTTGATACATATTGAAATATTTCACTCGTCACACACACCCAAGGTAATCTATCGAATGATATTAATATTATATTATTATTGGGAAAACAGATGTTGGAAAGTCAACATTGATAGATGATCTAGCAAACTATGTTTGTGAAAATACATTATAAGCTATTATTCCATTATCATTAGTTTCTTTTACTAATAACGAGACATTTGAAGAAGAAACTATCAAAGTTGGAGAAAACAATGATAATGAAAAATTTAATAGTTATGATCAATCATGTGTACAACAATGTTGAACTTTTGTTTTTCTTGTTGATGAAAAAAATTTACAAATAATTGATACACTTATATATGGTGATACTCGAAATTCGGTACGAGATGATGAAAATTTTTGTGAATTTTCAAGTTTTATTTCACAATATAAACATTTAAATAATTTAGGTTCCAGTGCAAGTCAAAATATTATTTTTATGTTTCCAAAAGGTTCGTAAAACATTTTTCAGTGCTTGTTTTACATCGAGAATTTTTTGATCACTTTTAGAACGAACTACAAAGGAACAATATATTAAAATATTTTTTTTTTACAAATGAAGTCTTAATTAATAATTTATTGTAACCTATAACTTTGATAATAGATCCTTATTTTATATATTAAATGACCAATATAAATTTACAATTATTTTGAATTAAAATTTTTTATTTCGTGACTGCTTGACTTTGACATTTATTTTCTCTTTAATTATTGAGATGGTCAATATTCAATTTTAGTCGTTCTCTAAGTCGACTAGTCAAACTGTTTTTTTTGTTTTATGTATTACTGCGAATAAAGATCAAGAGATATTCTCATTGCATAACTCTGTTGCCGAACAAACTCAAGAACTCTGCTTGTAGGAGAAACAAATTTCGACTAGACTTACTCATAAACGTATCATCAATTGTTGTTAAGACTCGCTTGACAGAAATCAAAATGACTTTTTATTGAGCTTTCATTCAAGCTTGGCGTTTGTTCCCATAAGAAATCAATAACTACATATCAATTAAATAGTCATGAATATTTATTAAATATTGCTGAAAATCTTTATATAGAGATGCATAAAATCAGAATCAGAGCAGTTGATCTAACCTTATCAATTCATATAACATTGGTCCTGGTTTACAAGAAGAGCCAAACCCATGTTGTTCGTCTGGTTCTTACGATTTGAAAATGAAATATCAATGCATTACCTTATTACCTGACAGTACTTCAACGAATTTGTTTAGATCAAAAACAATTATATCGAAAATTTTGCGTTAGTACTGTTTAGAAAATTTATTGACTCTAAAATTTAACATGTCATTGCCTGGTATTAGTAATATCATTATTCCCTACATTTTATTTTACCATTCTGCTGTATATAAACCATATCTTATTTTTGCCATCCTAATTATAGTTTTTTTATATTATGCAAAACAGAATTGATATGAGCCAAGGCATAGCATTAATTCAAGCTTTTCTTGTATAAATTTGTCTTTGTTTCAATTCTCTATTTCGTTCAAGAAATTATTATTATCTTATCTTTATAGAAATAAAATCAGTGAACGGCTGAAATTCGAAGTTCTAGAATTAAATCTATTCGAAAAAACATAAATATCAATTGGTTAAAAGGTATAAATAAATAACTATTAAAAATTTTAAAGAGTAAATATAATGTAAAAGATTTTTCAAAATGTAATTATATGCGAACTTTTAAAAATAACTCCATTGAAAAATAGTATCTCTTTTAAGATCCCTCGGTCCCATCAGAAAATTCATCTTTATGAAAGATAATCGAAGTTGAATTTTTATCATAGGAAGATGCAACGAAGTTTTCTTTTTATCAGAATATGTATAAATTTTTAAAAATAGATCAAATTTGAACAGAGTTTCGTAGGAGATTTGCACCCTAGCAGCCTGTTTTCAGAGAGCTTTTCGTGGTTTTCGTTGTCTTTAGGCAGACTACCTTTTTACTTTATCTAAGTTGAAGAACTCGATAATGTTCTATTTACAACTCCTACTCACCACGATGGTTTATTTTCGACAGATTATTTTTGTCCAAATAAATGTTATGGTTTATTACATTAATCATGCTTCCCAAGAAATGGCTATTTTCTTCAATAAATTTCAAATACATCAAAATTGATGTTTGTTTCATCATTTGCAATACCATTTTTTGAAGTCATCGAGGTTCAACTTTAAAACTCAAATGCTTTTTCTATCCTAGATGGCTTTTGGATAATGTGTAGTATTTAAAACAAGAATATAACTTAGTAAAAAAAACGATAAAAACGTCGGACCTGTCCACTAGACCGGATGGCCCGTTTCGAGGTATGATAGATAGCCCAGTGGATCGGATGCCCAACGTCTATTGCCAATATATCTATTGATAAAATCTTCTTTGATACTTTTTTTAATGAACTCAAGTCTTTGAAGAATATGGTAGTTTTTGCGATGACAATATTTATCCAAATGAAAATTGTATACTATAAACAGTTCGATCATAAGTTGGACTACTTGGATGTATTCGGAGAGAATACCATATATGTATTATTCATTAGTAATATTGATTAAAAAATCATCATTCGCTCAAAAGACATTCATCTAAAGAGTGAGCGCAAGCAAAAACAACGCAAACATAGTCTGTCTACAAAATTTCCACTTCATTTCTTTCACAAACTGAATGCTTGTAAAATATTAATTATTTTAAAAATTTCTCTTCGAAGATAGTTTATATGAAGTGCAGATTTTTGTGAAGTGTAAAAGCTTGTAATTGGATACAGATGACAGTCATGATGTGTTTCTTTCAATTTCCTAAGTATGCAAGAGCTATCACATATTCAAACAGTTTATACAATAGAAAATGTTGGTCATCAATCGCAATCTCCTTTAGAA